CCAGGTTTGACTTCTATGGGTATATAAGGAAGCCCTATCTCTTTTTTCTTAAACCATCTGTGACCCTCAATTTAGCAGACTTTGCTTTTGTAAACTAAAACGAAACATTTTTAAATGATATCTGATTCTCATTGCCACTCAAAATTCAGAAACTAAGACTTTCACCAAGTCTCTCTGCTTTTCATGGCAATACAATTATTTGAATAAGTCCAATAGGAATCCATCCTTCTTTTTACCTTTTATAATTGAACAAATAGATTGTGCAACTAGGCCTTACCTAGAGAGTCATATTTGTGAGTGATGTTTTTTGAACCAGGTGTAACAAGCTCGTTTTTCTTTTTGCTGAGGAAGATTTGCCCTGAGCTAACATCCATTGCCAATCTTCCTCCTTTTTCTTTTTTATGTGAACCACCACCATGGCATGGCAGCTAACAGATGAATGGTATAGGTCATTGCCCAGGAACTGAACCAGGTCACCAAAGTGGAGCGCCCCGAACTTAACCACCAGGCTATCAGGGCTGGCCTACAAGCCCGTATTAAGGAACAAGAATTGACTTCCTATGTGGAGCCAATATGCATAGTCGTCCCAAGAAAACTGACTCAGAACCTGCTTAGAGGGGCCCAGTCCCAAGGGTGGTGAGGAAGAGCAATTCCAGGCAAGCCAGGGACCTTACCAAATTTGGGACAGTTCAAAGAGAATTCATCAGCTTTATAGTAACTGCACGCAAAATCTAGTGTAGTGTCTCAGACTTGGCTTCCTAGTCTCTGGATAGAAGACCAAATAATAGGGGTCTTATTGGTCCAACCTGAAATTCCTTATGGAAATTTCCAGGCAGAGTTAATTCTCAGGCATTAGTAGATGCTCAATACTGTGATGCTCTGGATTTGCAAAGCAAACTCGAGGAGGCCTAGATGGTTCATTAACACTCTTGCTGTATCTTTGTAAATAATCAGGCCAAACATAAGAGACCAGCCTCTCTGCGTGATCAAGAATGATCTTTGAAGATTATTTATGATCTCTGGTGATGGAAGAGAGGCTCTCAGCAAAAATATCCCAAACTCGGAAATAAGCAAAAGAGATTACCGACCATTTTTTCAGTGCAGTCTCAGGCTTAACTTTCATTGACTGGGTTACTTTATAGGTCTGCTGGGCGAGAAGTTTACTTGTACATTTTTGCTGATAGAGATGCAAATGATTTCTGGCCAGTGAGACAGAAAACTTCTGGTTCTGTTAATTGTCCCATGAGATAATAATCAGTTTTGTCTCTACTTCAGCAATTTTGTCCCAATTTTATACACATATTAAGATATATATATGACTTCTCAAACACCCTTTGGAACACTTTTAGCGTCTCATTGGTTCACTCATTAATTTAAATCTTTGACGTGTGTCTGTTCTATATTTGCATAAGAATCATGCTTTTATCCTTTTGAAAACTATATCTCAACATCTAAATACATTTCAAGTTGAATTTCACTGAACATCAGTCTATAAACTGTAGAAGGAATCTGGGCCGTCGATAGGAGGACTTAGATTTGAATCCTGGCAACAGCAATACTTTTATTTTTTAATACTCTTTTTTTAGAAGAATTTTAGATGTACAGAAAAGTTGCAAACTAGTACAGAAAGTTTCTCTATACTCCACATACAATGTTTCCTAGAGTTAATTCCACAGTACATTTGCTACAGCTAAGGAACTGACATAGGTCTCTTACCATTAACTGAACTCCACACTTTGTTCAGACTTCATCATTCTTCTCCCATTGTCCTTTTTCTGTTCCAGGATTCCACCCAGGATACTCCATTACATTTAGTCATCACGTCTCCCTAGCCTCCGCCAGTCTGTGACAGTTTCTCAGACTTTCCTTGTTTTTGATGACCTTCACAGTTTTGAGGAATACTCATCAGGTATTTTGCAGAACGCCTCTTAATTTGAGTGCATTTGATATTTTTCTCACGATTAGACTAGAATTCTGGGGTTTGAGATGGATGACAGCAGAAGTGAAGTGCCATTCTCATCACATCCTATAAAGGGTTCATGTTGTCCACATGACCTATCAGTCACGATGTTAAAACCTTGATCTACTGGCTGAGACAGTGTTTGTCAGATTTCTCCATTGTGCTGTTGCTTTCCCAACTCTGGCTCTGGAAACCAGCCCTTCAGCACAGCCCACAGGTGATGGGGGAGACGGAAGATTTAGCGGCACTCCCCGTAGAGGAAAGCATCTACAAACATTATTTGGGATTCGTCTGTACAGGTGATTTGTTTCTCCTCCCTCATTTATTTATTTATTCAATCATTTATTTATATCAGTATGGACCCACGGATATTTATTTTGCACTTTGGGTTAAATCCAATGCTACATTATTTATTTCATTGCTCAAATTGTCCCACTTTTGCCCATTGGGAGCTCTTTCAGATTGGCAACTGTGTCCCTTTGACATGCCCCCATCTTTTGTTTTTTCAGTGCAGCAAATTTTAGCTCTGAACCTCAGGTTTCTCATCAGCAGAAATGTGATAGTAAAGCTGATCTTTCAATACGGTTATGAGGAATTAGAACAAACAAGAATGATAGCAATAATAGCTCTATCCTCTGAGTGCTTAACATGTACTAGGCACTATTCTGAGCACTTAACAATATTAACTCATTTGAAAGAATTAGTGTCTATCAAGCTGGGACTCAGTGTCTGACACTGAACATATTTTCAGAAAATGACACTTCACATCAGGATTGACCCAGATTCCAACTGGGTAGCTTTCAGTGCAGCACATACAGGTACCGTCATTGGTGGTTCATCCCAGGTGGCCAACTATAAATGACACCGTGAAATCAAGAGTCTCTGTCCTTCACTCTTTCTGATTATTCAGCCTCTACTCAGAGGTGTGCCCTCTCATTGACAGTTTCATTAGCTGGGATGTCATTATTGGTGTAGTCAGCATGCTCCAGGCACCAAAGCAACTAACCTTGGCAACCTTGAAGCTTTGGTCCTTATTAAGCATTTCGTGTTTGACTGCTAGTTCAGCCTGGAGCCCACAGCATTTGGAAATAGACCCCAATGTCTAAGTGGACTGGACTGAGTTAGGCAGCTTCTTCCTCCATCTTCTCCAAGACTTTAATTTTTGAGAGATATTTTTCTTTGAGACTTTTTATGAGGGAATTTTTTTATATTAGATGTTTAACAGCCAGAAATAGTATAAAAAAGAAACCTTCTTCTCAACATGAAAACTTCACTGAATGGTGAAGGTGTTTCTATCTATCTGGAGCAAACGTTCATTAATATCATCCATCATCTTTATAAGGGATAGAATTAGAAGAGTCAACCTCGTAGGTGTAGCCACAGCTTCAGTATTTAAGTACCAAAAATGGACAAGGCTGTTTATACCACCTAGTGTCTGAGGTGAATAAAATGAAAAATGAACAGGTCTGCTAAGCCCCACAAAATTCACCTAAAGCAACATGTGCTTTTGACAGAAAACTTAAAAGCAATGTACAGAAAGAGATAAAATTAAATTATTTGCTGTATTCCAATACCGAAGCAATGGCAAGGAGGCTGCCAAATAAGAAATGCCAGAGGCTCCCTTTGCTCAGGTGAAGTCTGCAAAATTACACAGGAGATTTCAAAAGAAAACTCAAAGGTAACATGCAGACCAAAAATGATTTATTCTTTTCAATAAGCCTTTTGGAGGCAAGGAAATAGGATTCAGGCCTGGCTTGGCACAAGAGTCGAAGAAAACTCACACCTTAGGTCTGCAAAATGAGGAAGATAATTATGTGAGAAGGAGAAACTGAGAAGGCATTGAAGACTTAGAGAGACAGGAAAACACAGAGAGACTCTTTAGAATGTTTCCTTCCCCCTTTTTCCATCCTCACCTCTGCTGCTGGCTGCTACCTGCCCTGCCTGGGGCAACACATGCACCTGTATCAACAGGTCTGTTATAAAGTAACAGACGAACTAGTGTTGGCATCTCTTTCTGCTACCACATTCTGAGAAAAGAGAGCCCAGCAGCGAGTTTCCAGAACCCATCAGAGGAGGATTGTGCTGAGTCATTCCAGAGCAGCTAGGAGGGGATGGAGAAAGGAGGTGTTTTCATAAGAGAGGGGGAAGCTTGCAGACCAGTGGGAGGGTCGGAGCATCAAACAGTAGGTCTGGGGATGAGGGTTTCTATGACAGCAGAGAGCTAGGCACGTGTTATGATAGCCCTCACGGAAGAAGCATTGGGATGCTCACAGGGGCTGGGATGGAAGAGTGGAAACACTTGTGCAAATCTGTAGAGCAGGGTATCTCTGCATGGGCCTCACTCTGAACAACAGCAGCCAGAAATATAAGAAGCAATAGCAAAGATGAAGAGCAACCTAGACAAAGGATCCAGCGATTCTTCTCTTCTCAACACCTCATAAGCCTGAGATGATTATAGGTCCCACAGAGAAAGAGAGGAATTCCAATAATGACTGAGATTGAACTTCCCACCAGCCAAGTGGTAAGGAGCCAAGAGCAGAATGAAATTGATTCGGAAAAATAACAAATGTGACATTTCTGGCACTTTGGAGTTATGGACTAAAAAATCATAAGATGATTTTTGTATACAACACACAATTCCTCACTGGAATTATACAATACAGAATTCCTCATTTTCCTGGAAGCAGCCAGTAGGAAAACAGGGGAAGGAGAAGAGGGGCTCGTGACTCATTCATAGCTCCATCCTCCTGCCTTGCTCCCTTGTGGTCCAAGGATACTTGGGAGGTGCAGTTGAGTTGATAGAAGCAACTCAACTATCTTCCCGATGAGAATGTGCTCCCAGCATCAGCCTTTAATGGCCAATCCCAATGCTAAAATACAGACTAATGATGCTCATTCAGACACTCACTTATGGTGTATCTCCTATGTGCTAGATGCTGTACTAGATAGCGATGTTAGACAAGCTCTCCCTAAGTGGCCAGTCCAGTAAGGGAGGCAGATATTCAAACAATGAGCTCTACTCCAACCATAATGTACTAACCGGGCAATGGCAGCTCTGTATGCTGGGGGGAGCTCAGGTTTCCAGAGTCTGACAGACTCTTCCACCTACCGGTTCTGCACCTTGATCAAGTCTTTTAACTTCTCTGGACCTTAATTTCTGCATCTGTAAAATAATAACAATGCTCACCTTGTATGGTTGTTGTGATGATTAAATAACAATAAAGTGATAGCTAACACTTATTGAATGATCATTAGGCACAGTTCTTAGAATTATACATTTCTGTAATGCATTTAAAATACATAATATCCTATGAGGTACTTATTACTATTATACTCACTATACAGATGAGGAAACTGAGGCACACAGAGGTTAAGTAATTTGTCCAAGGTCAAACATTTGGTAAATAATAGAGTCATGAATGTTCAAGACGTAATGTACTGTGAAAAATTAATTGAAACAAATAGTAAGTGGTTTTATAGACATGCAAACAAAATTTAGTAGTAAACCAAAGAAAAGGGTAATTAGTCTACTAGCTGACTAGGAAGGGGATAGCATTTGAACTGAGTCTTGAAGGGTGAGTTGGAGTTTTCCAAATGAAGATAAAGAAAAAAACAAATTTTAAACAGAGATAGGAGTATTTGCCAGTCAAGAGGTATGAAATAGCCTGAAATGGAGTTGCAGATGGGGAGAACAAGCCCAGTGGGGCTGGGCTTTTTGGGATAAAAAGGGAGAAGTGGAGAGCCAGAATTTTTTAGCCTAAGTCAGTCTTGTCTTACATATACAACCTAGGCTCTGAATGCACAGTGAGTTCTCATATCATCCTCCAGGCAATGGGAGGCCACTGGAGTCTTTGAGCAAAGGAGAGACATGAGTATACTGCTTTTTAGGTGGACAACTAAGAAGAGGGGGCAGGACAGGCAGAGGTAAGGAGACACCAGCAGTGACAGCAAGACCAGTGAGGAGATTGTTGCGGTAATCAAGGTGGGTATGATGATGTTTTCAACGAATGCAGCAACACGGTGAATGCGAAAGAAACAAAGGAATAACGAGATCTTATTGAGGTAGAAATGGAAACAAATTGGATGCATCTATTTCTTTATTCAACAAATATTAGATGAGAATTGCTAAATGCCAGGTACTATGGCTAGACCAAGGAAGAGCATAGGAACCAATGATGCTGGTGATGGAGAAAAGAATATAGCCTTCCACAAGGCAGACTATGCAAAAGCTTTTAACACAGAACGTAAAAATTGAAAGGAAGCAGAGTTGGGAATGGAAGAGCTTGTTTGGGAACATGTTTGACATGTCAGGTTGAGCCAAGACTGGAAATAAGAATATCAAAATGAGAAAATAGTTCAAACCTAATAATATAAATTCAAAGCATTTTCTCAAAGAGTATATCATTTGACTTGAACATCTATTCAGTAGTTTGCGTTGGGCCAAGACTTGTTATCTCCATTTCACAGGGTGTATAACTTTCATGGCGATGTGTCATCTTGCCAATGGACATCCTTCTTGCAAAGGCAGGATCCACGAGGTTCAGCATGGAGTGAGGCTACCACAAAGATCCCTCTGTCAGGGAGAACTCAAATCTCGTGTTTCATCCTCCTTCAACCCTCAGCATTCATGATAACCCTGGAGTAAACACATCTCAAATGGATCCCCACGTATAACAATTTTTCTTCTAAATTTAACAATTTATTGCTTTGACTATGGGTTTTGACATTTTAGGCTTGTTTACTGGGCTTCCCTGACCTCTCTCTATATAACTTGAGCTATTATTATTACAAGGGCGTTCTCTGATAAAATACACTGTAAATCTCGCTCTCCAGAATGCTGCAATGGAATCTGAGCCTGGTAAAGAGCAGTCGACAGATTTCCCAGGAAATCAAATGCCATTTACACTGAGAGCTGAGAAGGATGTTTGAAACTGACTCCTCCTCACCGTGCCGACCCAGTGGTTTACTTCACTTGTAAATGTATTTCCCTGTCAAATATTCCCAGAATCAACTCAGCTGGTAGATGATGCATCCGTGAAAATGTTTGCTCACCCAAACTCTTTGCTGAGAGCTACAAATATACTTGTCAGCATCTTGTCACACATCGGGTCCCAGCGTAGATGCCTTCAATCACACAACAAACATGCATAAAGCACCCACTACTTTCATAGCACTCCTCTATGTGTTGGCAGGAATAGTAACAACCATCTCTAATATTTATTGAGCACATGCTTCTAGGCACCAATCACTGGGCTACATGATTACTTGCATTATTCCCTTTAATCTTCACAATATCTTTTAGTCTCTTTTTTTCCAGTGTTTAATAGTTTCATGTCTATATCCCCTTTGCACAATATATGCTATACGCTAAGTACTTGATAAATGATTTTGGAATATATAGAGAAAATGGAAGAATGAAGAGGATAGAGGATGAGTCTCTTTTGCAACAGAATATTTGTTGTTCGATAGCATCTATTAGTCTGCAGCCCAGAAGGAAGCTTGCGATCAGGCTGTAAATAACAAAACAAGCACAACAGCAAAAGCCCTTACAAAGCAATACAATATATAAATGAGTGTAGACGGCAAAGGACGAACAAGTTATTCACACGCCCAGGAAACCAGGAGGGAAGAAGATCCTGATAAGGACAACCAGGAAAAGTTGAATGAAGGAGAGATTCAAAAGCAGCCAGATTTGTACAAAGCCTCAAGGAAGTGGGAAAAATTACCAGTGACCACAGTTGTCTTGTTTCTTGGCTAATGCTTACATCTTTGTGCCAGCATGTGCCCTGGAGATCAATAACTCCTTAACTGTTGTTCTCACGTAATTGAAAAACTATAGGGGAACTTTTGGCCCACCTTTAAGGACGAGTCATGACTTGACAGCTGTATAGAGAGAGGACTTGAATTTCCTCCAAAAATGCTAGTGCTGACACCCAGCTGCCCAGAATAAGCCTTTCAGTAAAAACTCAATAACCTCTTTGCTATACTTCATGAAAGAGGAAAAGTGAACACTTTTTGTGACAGTTACTTAACCTCTTCAAGCTAGAGTTGCCTCATCAGTAAAACAGGAATGTCCTCTGTCTCTCGGAGGGGTTGTGAGGAGAAAGTAAAATAACCAAAGCTTCATAGCTTCCAGGTAGGGAGTATTCCTGATTCTATATTATCAGTTTCTGGAGAAATTTAAACTTATTTTTGAGATTAAAACATGGGACTCTGTCCGATTCTATGAGTTATAAGAATCAATATCAGGATTTCTCAACCTTGGCACTATTGACACTGTAGACCAGAGAGTTTTCTGTCGTGGGAGCTGTCCTGTGCACAGTAGGATTGTTACCAGCATCCCTGGCCTCTACCCACTAGAGGCCAGTAGCACTCCTTCAGTCATGACAATCCAACATCACCAGACATTTCCAGATGTCCCTAGGGGGCAAAGTTCAGTCGAGAACCACTAAACTATGTTATTATAAAGTGAGATATGTGTTACTCAACCCTTTTTCTAGCTTTCACTACAAATGGTAAAATAGAGCATTTTGTAAAATCTCAATAAATAGAAGCTAAATGTACAAATGAATAATGGATGAATCATTGAATGAATGATTAGAGGAAAGAATGAATGAATGGGTGAATTAATAACTTAGGGACCTAAGACACTTTGAAATCTAAACAAACTGAAAGTAAACTTAGGACATCGTCCCACACTCCATGCTAGATGATAAGGAAAATAAACACAGTCACTATCCCCAAGGAAAGATCTAAAATGCAGTGGGAGACAGAGGCATGTCCAGGACAGCCAAAAGCTAAGTCTAACTGTGATGACACAGGATAATAATTAATCTAATTAGACTCTATGCTCTTGTCAACATAGACACTATATAGCATTAATCTTTGTCACCTAAATAGTAACTGGCACCTAATAATGCCTTATTTCTGATAAAGAAACATCAAGGAAGTTGTCCAGGAGGTTCATTTGAAGAGGGTGAGGCCAAAAGAGTGTCCCAGGCAACGAGAACAGCACTCACAAATGAGGAGGGAACACACAGACTTAACTTTGGCTGCATAATCCCATGCAGTCTGTAGCCCAGACATCTACAAAATCATAAAGCTAGCAGTTATCATTAAAAAAGGATACACTCTGTCTTCATATTTATTTAATGCTCATTAATATTTAATTCAGCCTATAGAAGATAATCAATACAATTTTGTTGACCAACAAAAAAAAATGGATACATTGAAACCACAGGCCTCTAGCATAAGGTATTCTGCTCAAAGTATAGAGGAGACGTTTAGCTCTGCAGATATTAAACTGGCGGTACTTCCTACCCATAAAAGGTAATAAAGGCTAAAACAATAAATGATGTTCATCAGTTCAAGAATGGTACAGCCATTGGCAGCATGATAGACGAGATCACTCTGAGCAAGATTTGAACCTCACTCTGCTGCTTAAAGAGCATGTGACTGACCATGGGCAAGTCATTCTGTCCTTCCAGGATGTTCTTTCTTTATCTATCAATGAGAGTAATTGCATCTTCCTTAAAGATTGCTTTGAGAATTGTGGTGACCATTTATTATTTTGTGCATTCAATTCCATACCTCTTTTGGAGAACAAATTCCCTTTTCCACTCCAAATGGAAGTTCTCATTCTCCTGGCTCTCCACCAGCCTCACTGGGCATCATCTTCAGTCTAGGGATGTAGATATAACCCAAGCCAGGCCCCAGTAACTTTCAAACAAGAAGTGAGAGTGTACATTTTGTAACTGTAAAGATGTGTCCCAGCAATGTTAACAAGACTCCAAGACATAGACATTATTATGATGATTATTTATGAATACTGACTATAGCATTCATATATTTATGCACTTAACAAATATTTATTGAGCACCAACTCAGTGTCTGGCATTATGTCATGCATTTTATACACACTTGCATTAACTCCCAAGATAGCCCCAAGAGTTAGGAATTACTAACATCTCTACTTTACAAATGAGGAAATTGAGACAGAAAGGTTGATTAATTTTCCTGACTTCATCCAGTTCCCAAGTTTTAGAGCTGAGATTCAAGCTTACATTTTTATGTGTATATTATTATTATTGCTGAACTCTTTCAGAATAAGGTGTGCATATCATCCCCATTTACTCCTAAATACTTCAGTGTGTATTTTCTAAG